TATATATATATATATATATATATATATATATATGAAACATTGCGATATTTTGTGGTGAGCCTTTGTGCACATGTTTTGAGAACTCCTCACAGTGTGTAGAAATCGAAAAGTGCAAAACTTTTGCGTCTAAGAGTTAACTCGAATCGTTGGAGAGAATACCAGTGGTGTTATATATGTTATCGTTACATCCTTGTTGAACTTTCTAAGCAGAAAGTATTCACCTTTATGCTTGTCTCTTCTTTTTAGTGAAAGCAGAAGGCAAGGGTGAAACTGATGTTTTATTTATTAATCTTTCTGGTTACGATCTTGGTCGGAGTTATATTTGGATCCTTGGTGTGGGGGATAGTCGCGCAGCGCGTGGTACCGCCGTTCCGGCCACGGAGTAGTGGTAGCCCTGTCAAAGTTGGTGTCGTGCTTGGTTCTGGGGGCCATACGAGCGAGATGATACGTGTGCTGAACACCCTACCACATTCTTTCTGGGAAAACAGTCATCCCTTTTATGTAGTGAGTAATACCGATAGACATTCCGCTCAACTAGCCCGCGATTTTGAACAAACCGCCTTCAAGCGCAGAGGGGTTTTACATGTCATACCTCGGGCTCGCGAAGTGGGCCAGAGCTACTTCACCTCAATTAGAACAGTACTTCTCGCTCTTTGGAGCTCCCTTATCGTGGTGTATCGAGAGAAGCCAGACGTACTGCTGACCAACGGCCCTGGGGTATGTTTGCCGGTTATACTAGCCGGTTTTTTGCTCCCTGCATGGTGTCCCTGGTACGTTCGTCGACGGCCCATCATTGTGTATATGGAATCCTTTACTTGTGTGGAGCATCTTTCTCTGACGGGTAGGCTTCTTGCCCCTTTCCTAGCTGATATCTTCACGGTTCACTGGGAAGCTGTGCAGGTGGCGACGGCCCGAATTCGATGGCGAGGTCAGCTGTATTGTATAGGAAATAGATCCAAAACGAATGACGATGTTGCTAAAGCAGCACCTCACGAGCAAACCCTACGAGAAAACTACGCGCTCGTCACGGTAGGCTCCACCCGCTTTGACGAGCTCATTTACGCGATGCTCAATACGTCGGCCTGGACGACGCTGCGGGCCCACTTCGCAATTGATAAGCTTTTAGTGCAGTACGGTGCGATGGACTTCACGCCACTTCCCAACCAACCGATGCGGTGGGACGCAGACCCGGCGAACCTCTCTACTGGGATTTGGAGAGGGACCTGGGGAGGGGTGGTCGTTGAGGCCTTTTCCTACCGCCCTAAGCTGGATCAATGCATATCCGATGCGTCCCTGGTTATTACACACGCCGGGGCGGGGACGATACTCGAATGCCTGAACGCGCGGTGCCCAACAGTAGTCGTGCCGAATCGGCGGCTTATGTCAGACCATCAACTCGACTTAGCAAATGCATTGATGCGAAGGGGCTACTTATACTGTGTTTCTGTGGAACAGTTAGGGGATCAACTTCGGACGCTTAATCTCAACAAGTTATCTGTGTACCCCGGCATGGATGAAGATTTACTTATAGCAAAACTAACCTCACATTCAGTTCACGACAAAAATAACTTGGCTGAGGAATAAAGCTAATTGATAAAAGTAACGAATATGCATGTGCGTATGCTTCGATCACCATTACATTACTAGTATGTACTTCCCTGTCTTATACGCAGATATATATATTAGCTCTGTTGCTAGTGTTTTAAGAAGTTGAGGAAGAAGGCAATGGAATTACATTTCATTTCATCTTACTGCGTATATGTTTTAATGTCTTGTGTGCACTAATCTCAATTCACTCTCCATTCCGCTCACTGATTTTTTTATTTTGCTTAATTTTTTATTAAACAGCTATAAATTTGTTATTCGCCGGAGTATAGCACGTTATTGACTACCCACAATGAATGCCGAACGAGCCGCTGCAGGTGTAATTGACCTCATTAGTTCTAATAAGTTGTCCGAAGCGCAGGTGGCATTAGAAAATGCACTCCTCAAGTACCCAAAGAACAACAACGTAGAGGTGGCTGAAGCATGCCTCTTACTTCAGAATGGTCAGGTTTCCATCGCGAAAGAAAAAGCTGAATTCCTCAGCACGCAGGGCATCACAAATCCCACCGCTATCAACGCCCTAATAAACACTCTACAACGGTGCTGTGCGTGGAAGGCTCTTGTTACAATATTTGAGCGCAATCCAGCGGCTCAAACGGACAAGAAAACCTTGGAGTCTTTGGCCCTAACGTACGTGCGGATGCGGGACTACGCCAAAGTGCAGGAAATCGCTACCCAGCTCTACCGTAGATTCAACGAGGCGAAGCACCAAGTGTGGCTTGTTCAGGCCTGTCTTGGGCAGGTCCCACGCGGCAGCAAAGACCACCTTGCCCTCCGGCTCGCCACGAAGCTGCTCGAGGCGGCGGTCTTGACGGAGAAAGGCGTCATCGTCCCGACGACCGTGCAAACCTACGTCGATGCATTGATTCAACAAATGCGGTACGACGACGCAGTTGGCTTTCTTTGCAGTAAACTTGGCGCGCGGATTGGGGTGCTCGAGACGCGTTTAGAAGTCCTGGCGAAGGTTCTGAAAAGTCAAGGGCATCTTGCCAAAGCGAACGCCGTAGCCAAATTTCTTTGGAAGCGACGACCAGAAAACTGGACCTCATTCGAGGCCTATGTGAACACCCTCAGCGATGCCAAAGCGGAGGTGTCTGAAGAGCGGCTGATTTTAGAGAATCAACAATCTGGTCAGGTGATCACTATTGATTACGCAACAAAAGATAACAGGCTGGAGGATGCATTGCGATTGGCAAAAGAACTCCAGGCAGAAAAGAGTGGCCAGGACGGTCAAAAGCTGGAGCGGGGACCCTTTCTTGCAGAACTCTCACTTTTGGGGCGTCTGGATGCTACCGCTCTTCAGACGGCAGTTCTGACTTACGCACAGAGGTTTTACCACAACCCATCCTGCTTCCTGGACCTTTCGACATTTTTGACGAGTGAATCGAGCTTGGCAATCTACAATTGGTCCATCTGCGAAGAGACAGAGACTGATGATCGCGATGAGGCTAGCCTGTTAAGGAGTCATTACCGCCGTATTTTGGGGATACGTTGTCTTGTCTCATCATGGGGTCTCACATCCGAGTCTCAGCCCACTATTGAAGAGATGCAGACACTAATAAAGTCCTGCCTATCGGCATACAATGACGCGAAGCCTCTATCGACATCACTCGCGTGGAGCGAGGAAGGCTTGTGTGATGGATATATCAGCGTTGCCCTCAATATCGCTCTGCGAGGATACCTAAGCCATGAAAAAGACCTTCAGTGGATTGTTGACGGGCTTAATATGCTGAAACACGTGGATCGTCGCATGAACAACCCGGGATGGCTTATGATTTCGGTGTGCTTTGCGCAAATGTTGGGGCTAGTAGATACGGCAGCACTTCACCAATTGTCCTTTCGTAGTGTGCAACACGACACGATGACCCATATAGGGTACTGGCCGTTGGTGCGGGGCTTAGAACTAAAAAAACTAGCTACCTGGGAAAGTATGGCGATGGATTACTACTCACGGCTGGAACGCGACTGCAGTCAACTGCGTACTAACATATTTACATACATTTCGTGGCCTGCTATACAGGACGTGCACGAATTTGAGGAAAATCAGGAAAACTCTTTGTCTCGTTGGCTCATCATTCCACACGAGTGTGTTTCAAAGCTTAAGGAGTGCCAAACTCAAAAAAGTATTTTTGAGCTTTTGTTATCAAGGGGGCCGGAGCTATGGAATGCATCTCAGAAACTCTACACAGAAAAAGTCGATGTACTAACTGACAACACTGACTTGCTCGTGGTGAAATCCGTTATACTAGCTGATATCCATTCCGAAGAGGCTCAACAACTGACCGATAAGCTGGTGGGCATGTCTACCTTTGAATGTCGGCTGACGCGTGGTCTCCAAATGTTGGAAAGCCTGTTGATGCTACATGACCTGGTGAGACTGGAGCGGCATCGCCACGAGCTTACCACCGTCTCCAAGCCAAGAAAATCGAACAAAAAGGCTCTTCAGAACATAAATAGCGCACAAAAATCACATCCACGGCTGTATTGCCCTTCTCTTTTAGACCTTCGGAAAGCCAAAGAACAATGGAATGGTCGGCGATTGGACTGCTTTCCAGCGATCAATACCATTTCGGAAGGACTTCTGTCCTATATACTGTCCGACGGCACCGCAGTGGTGTCATATGATGATGCCTTTGGGGATTATCTTCAAGCACTCGTCTCAGAAGACAACTCTTCAGCGAACTTTGAGGAATTTTTGTATCCTGAAGCATATATATTGGTGTCTCTGGTGCGGACTGGGGATCTATCCAAAATTCCTGTCAAGAAATGGGCTGTCACCCTGCAACGGATTTTGGAAACCGCTCTAAGCCGTTACGAGTCTGGTGTATGGCCAACACTTGCAGCAATAACAGTAGCGCCCGATGATCTAGTAGAAAATTTACTCCAAGAAAAACTGAAGCGAGTGAAAAGGTACTTAAGCGATTTGATTGTGGATGTGGCCGCGTCCACACGAAGAAATTGACCTGAATATTCGCTCAATGACTTTTTTAATAAGTCTTTTCTGAAGCTCCATCGCCGTGCCTCCTTTTTCATGGTTATCCTTATCGTGTTATTTGTTTTGTTTAGCCTTTGATATATACGAAAATCTTTCTAGAGTAAATGATAATACAGCAAAAAGTGCTGCTAGTTAGATGGAAATCATATAATATTTTTCGGAAAATCAATTCTGATGCCTTCTCAAATATTTGCACGGTTGAAAGAAAAGGTTTGAGGAGTGAACGGTAAGGGCTCGTATAACTTCATTATTTGTTCAATAACAATAAAAAAAAATACTATGGAATGGGTATGTCCCTGTTTAGATTGAATATTTGAATTCATTTTTATTGTTATTTACCTTCATGTCTTCTTGGTTCAACAGCAAAATCCCATTAATTATAGTTAGGGTCTTTTAAGACCGTTAGATATGTCGACTAGTATTGAATACCAAAAAGGGACTGATACGAAGTATGACGACGTCAAAAAGGATTCCCAAGAATATGCATGCGCACCGTCCAGCTCGTCTATGAGCTCTATTTACATTCTACCTCACACTTCATGTAACCCACGTGTTTCCGATCGCACGACTCTCATGGTATTAGAAGATATTTTCTTCACTTACGTCGGATGCCCCTCGACCAAAGAATTCTTTCTGCTTCAAAAGGATGGGATGGAACTTCAGGGTCAAATTAAACAAGGGTGGAATATACCCAACATCGCTCTGGAGCCGGTTGTGCCGGAACGTCTTTTGGCATGGCATACCACGATCGATCTCAAGCGTCAACTCAACCACGAGGACACATTGGGGAGTACCCTTTTGAACTCCACCACCCAAAACTACTTAAGACGCACCTTCGCGCACGATGCGAAGGACGAGCACCAGCTTTTACCCCTTATTCTGCCACTCTTGGAGGCGCTGCCGGCGCCGACGCGGTGCAATATGGAGGCGATCAACGTCATGCGTGAATTGGTGGGTCAGCATTTGCGCCACCTGTTCGGCCTGGTGGATGCGGTTTTGAGCCTAAAGGGGCGTTGGGGACGGCTGGACGAACGGGAGCGTAGTCGTCTCCATGCCGTGATGAAGGCGGTGACAACCACGCGCGTGAAGGGTCTCTCCACACTACAGAAGGGCTTTGTTGAGCTGAACTTCAGTGAACTGGGCCTGAGTAGTTTGAGCGCGGAGATAGCAAACTACACCGAGGTGCGCGTTTTGCGGCTGAATAGAAACCGTAACCTCAGACACCTGCCGATGGTGCCACCGACGTGCCAGACAGTATTGGTCGGTGCGTGCAGCCTTGAAACAGTCGCCTTTGTGCCAAAGCAGGTCGGGCCTTCTATACAGCCAATTTTTTCACGTGTACTCGTGATGGGACTTTCCTATAATTTCCTAACCAATCTTACTTTCATGCGTTGTTTTCCTTCTCTACGCATTTTAGATATTACAGGGAACCGTTTGGCCTCCCTTGACGATGTTGTGGCGTCTTTGCAAGAGCATCAGGTTCTGGTGGACATCTGCCTCGCAGAAAACCCTGTCTCACTTTTAGATGGATACCGACATTTTATAGTGAAAGCATGTCAAAGGCTAAAACACTTAGATGGACAACGCATACATGCAGAGGAAAGAATACGTGAAGCACCGTTGCCTCCAGAGGCAATCCCCGTGGTCACTCAACCTTCTGTGAAGCAGCGAGCATCACCCCAAAAAATTAAACGTCTTTCCAACTTATTCAACACCCCTTCTCCTTTGCACTCTTCGCTTTTGACTCACAACCAGTCTGATATTTCCCATAACACGGTGTTTCTCTCGGCCCAAATCGTCGCCCTTCGTCAGATATCTCCACTGTTCCACACACCCCTGACCACCACCTCTATCGACGAGCTGCTTCCCACCCATTCAGATCTATGGCAGCAGGTGGTCAACGCGGTGCCATGTTTTGATTCCATCTCGACCTGTGACCCCTCTCAGAGGAACCGACCCACCCTCACGGAGCTCTGGGCTATGCACAACTTGGTCCCCCATCTTGGGGGCTCCAAACCAGTGCACCATGGCATACCGCTCTACACCCATTCTTCCTCCCTTACCCTGAAGGGTGGCTGGGGGCCTATTGTCGATCCCCACAACAATGCGGATTACCTTGTGCCCATTGTATTGACCGATATTGCGCTGACAAAAGGGTTTCAAATAAATGGCACCACGCCTTTGAGCGCGGGTGCGGAGCGCTCTGGGGGTAAATTGACCCCTTCGGGTATGCATGCGCAGCAAGCGCGCAAAATAGAGGGCCATGCGATGATAAGTGGTGGAGCAGCGACCAGAGGTAAAAGCCCTATTCTGATGTCAAACAGAGAAAGCGGAGATGTGTACCGCCCCCCACTAGATTGCTCCACCTTTACACAGGATATTCCAATAAGCGAAGAATTGTCGGAGTGTCTGGCAAGGGCGATCAGACTCCGTGTAGAAGTCCACGATACCGTTGAACTGTCGATCATAAATAGTTTACGAACTCACAGTCGGGGAAGTAGACGAGAGAGTGTTAGTAAAAGCTCAATGGAACTCCGTAGTGGTCGTCGTCAAAACCTACATAGCTTCAAAAACTCGATCACTCATACACCACCTCTTGAGGCTACCACCGAGTACGCGAAAGATATGGTTGAGACGCATGTATATCAGCTTGGGGATATCTTCTTGCATCCCGGCCCCTTGCTAGCGCTACCTTCCACGTCATTCTACTGCTCTCAATTGGTACTGAAGGGTAGACTACTTCTAAGTGAGGCAGACAGGAAGGCTGAATTCCGATCCTTGCGGGAAGATCAGGCCACGCTGCGCAAAGCCCTAGAAGCATATACTCGTGCAGCTGAAGCGGCATCCGTCTTATCGTCGGAAGCATCCGAATTGATGGACAAGGACAACCTTAACCGGGCAGAATTGTCGGTCCACAGTCCTCATTCTTTCTTATTACACCCTTCCATTAATCGTCAAAGTCACAACAATAGGAGTGGCTCATCGGGCTATGCACACCATTCTGGGATAACACCATATTTACAGCGTGTTTTACTATGTGGCGCTCGAGTCGTAGCTCGGATAACTCGCCTACAGGAGCTGTACAAGGCGGCTGATAATTTGGAGGTGGAGGTGAAGTTGTGTCTCGGACGTGGCCCCGTTGACCCATCTCTGCAGGAGGTCGCACCACGCAAAGGTAAAGGTACCAATAAGCATAATGCCCGCACAAAATGAACTAAAACGACAACAAATAACTCATTTGAGAGCAATAAGAAAGTAGAGGAATTTTTTCAGTTACTTGGGAAGATAAAGATGCATGTGTTTATCATGTAAACTAACCGATCCGTGTTTTTTGTTCAATCGATGTATATTACAAAAAGGTATTACAACCCTCAAGAGTCTTGACATGTTATGGTATGGCATCTGACTGCTTGTAATGTAACATCTACACACCACCATTTTCCCGAAAAGGCGATATTGTAATCGCCAACTTAAACCACATGTATTAGGCCCCTCACCTTTGCTTAATAACACTATATACTTTGCTTGAACTCGCGTTCGATAATTTATTTACCTCTTGATAGTATTGTTCATTTCTATTTTGCCTATGGAAAATTGAAACTATTAATATTTCAACTCTTAAGGTAATTATCTTCTCTTTTTTTTCCTTTTTGAAAAGGGGGCGGCCCAAAACAATAGTTGTTACACATTTAAAATAAAGCGAAATAAATGGTTCTTTGTCGTAATACTGTGTGCCTAGTTCTGGCTACCTTGCTCCTCTTAGCTCAGTTTGCTACTTTGTCAGTGCATGGTGAAACAGACACTATTCGTTTTCAGCACCAATTTGATAAGAAGCCGGTACTGGAGTGGTCTGTAAATGAAGTAGTGGAATGGATGAACAACACCATTGGCTATGCGGAGTATAGTGACTACGTACGGAAACATCTAATTGATGGACCGACTTTGCTGGAAATGGAGCCTGTAGACTTCGAAAGCTTTTTCCCAATCACAAGCCCTCTACATGTGATTAAAATCCAAGCCCATATCAAACTGCTTCGTGGGCAATGTTCATGCCACGATGCGACGATCATAACAGGAATGCACAGCTTTTGGACGTACATGAAGCATCACAATGTACGGACATGGGTTGAGGGCACCACAGCACTATACTTTTCACGCATAACTATGCTCAGCGCTTATCTGTTTGATCATCAACTGTATATGGACGTAATAAGTTCTGGAAGGAGGTTCGAAGATGAATATAGTAAGATAGGGAACACTGCGGTAAATGTACAAGACGGCGGTGCAGGGCTACGTTCCCGAAAGTTTGTTTACTGGGTTTCTTGGATATTCGCGCCAGACCTCTATCTAGCGTATCACTGCGCCAGATTTAGCGGGGTAAATTATTTTCTGATGCCTATTATGGTCATTCACTTCATCACTCAAGCGGTTAATGAATATTTTATTCTCTATACAATTTATAAGAAGGCAGCTTTCACCCCCGGGACGGGTATCTTGGAACGCATTTGGTGTATTTACTCATACACCATCTTTGCTCCCATTGCTGGGCTCGTGGTAGGGTATGCGTTCCCAATTATACTGCAGTATATCTGTGTATTAGCTCTCATTATTCATAACCTAGGCACTTTACTTGCATTAATAGCGCTTATATATTTTAGGGGGAGTCTAGAAGCATCACAAAGCAAGGACAATGGCAAAGACGTGAAGGAAACAAAAACAAGCACACGTACCAATACAAATGCCGCCGATGATAAGAACAATATGTCTAGTGGGAAAATTGACTAATATTGATAAAGAAAATTTTGAAGAGGATTAACTAATGAAGATTATATATAGATATATATATAATCATGTGATTATAAATCTGCAAAGTATGGGCAATAACGTAGTTGCTATGCTATAATTGAGGGTAATATTTCTGGGGACTCGCTAAATTCGATTTGTTGTTACTAAGTTTACCTAAATGATTAAGTCGTATTTTCTGATATTTTTGATAAAGCATACGTAATTTTTTCCTGATAGGATTGTAAGACGAAACATCTGCAAAACATTTTCTTTTTCATAAATAATAATAATAAAAAGCAATAGATATTTACAAAAGCAACAGGTCTGAGGGCGCTGATATGCACTTTTTTAAACATAAAGCTTCAAGCCAGAATCGTTCCAACGATACCAAAGAGGATCTTGAGCAGGCGGTATCCTCTCAGACGCCGGCACCTCTGTCGCCTACAACGCAAAACTTTCCTGGTATGGCGAAGCCTCTGACAAGGCCTCTCTTCCGAGAGCCTGGGGCATCCGTATCTTCCCTAGAAACAGGAGAAGAACATTCGAATGCTAAGCCTCGCCCACGTGGACAGGGTAAAGCGGTGCATAAAAAAAAAAAGAGGAAGAAAACACCATGGATACGACTTCGCAAATTGTCCATGATATCACAAGCCGTTGTGATACCGTGTTGGAGCGTGCGCACCAACTGCTAGCGCGGGCCAAGGAGCAGGAAGAGTTGGTGAATAGAGCTCTCAAAGAGCATCAGTCCCGAC